TATCGGTTATAGTTCCGACATTATCGAGTTCGGTAGCTTGAATACACTACGAGTGCCCGATAAACTTACAGATAAGATAAACTCTTTTTGTATTAAACTTGTAATAGGCTTGCAGAATATAAATATTGTTTATTCTATGTTTATGTTATCACATTTCGCGATCGCTGGTTGATAGTAAGTGATAACTAGTGATAGACGAGTGACTATTTTTGTTTTTTCTTTTTAAAAAGAACGTTGCCCCACTTTGAGTCGGTCAAATGATTACTGTGTTTTTTTAAAAAATCTCAGTAGTAGCACGGAGACTGGAATTGTGCCCGGTATGGCAATAGGCTTACCCCCTATTACATGGGACTCGTAATATAAATAGTGAAAAGTGGGTGTTACATTGTCAATGGCATAATGTGCACCTCTGCCTACTCCTTCGGGGATAAAAGGCATGTTGTTATGTGTTATTTATCGGTTTTATTTTGTGTATGTATTTGTAAGTACCTATTGGCTTAAATTTTGGTAGCTTTTGTTCTTTTTTTCTTTGTTCATGTCATCTTACGCACAGTGTCTTAGTTTTTACCGTTTTTCCTGTCGAAGGACTGCAGGAAGAGATTCCTACGGGAATATGGAGTAGGTACCTATGTACCTCCAATTTATTTATATATGTGTTCTCCTAATAACCTCCTTTTATGGAAGTTGGTTACAGAACGTCAGCTTGTAACTTGCGACTTATTAAACAGAGGTCACTAAACCAAAAGGAATGTGTTATGTATACGGTAATAAAATATACTTTTACCTGGCAAGCAATAATTGATACTGTCCAGAGGACCGCCATTAAGAATTCCCGGAGGTGCACAGTACATAGAATACTCTTTGGTACACTCTATAGAATTAAAAAGTTAATTAATCACAGACAAGTTTACCCCGATCACTACGTGTAACCTATACGTTGCAAATAACGTAACTGACAATTTATCTATTGGAAACGGAAATGTGTCATTGTTGACTCCCTGCAAAGTCATTTAGTTATCAATATTCGGAGTAAGTATAGGCTAATGTAATGATTATAGGGGTCAGGTTTAATGTTTTGGTCCGAATAATTCGATCAAATAGGTACATATTTTTCATCGATCTCAGCAGCAAAGGATTATATTTAAATTGGTAATTTATATCGTCCTAAATAATAACGGTTGTAACCGATTTCTATCCATATCCATATTTAAGACTAAAATAATTACATTCTTTTTATAATTTTCCATAAAAATTATGACTGCCTCGTTGGGCAAAGTATTACCGGGTTTTTTAACATTTCTCAGTAGTACCACGGAGTTCGATATTGTGCCCGGTATATGGTAATAGGCTTACCCCCTATTACATGGGACTCATAACATAAATAGTGAAAAGTGGGTGTTACATTGTGTAGTGGTATAATATGCAAATCTGCCTACCCCTTTGAGGATAAAAGGCGTGATGTTATGTTATGTAATAAAAAATATTTATTTAAATATCCAAAATACCCTACAGGGTCGAACTCGGATAAAAAACCGAGGCTTTTCCATACGACTTATGTGAAAAAATTATTTTGGTCCAAATATTTCGATTTGTTAAACAAAAGGCGTGTAACCGCTTGTCATTTTCAAAATGTTCATGAAAAATTTAACTTTAAGAAGATTACCTATCTGCTTTTCCATTTTTCACGTTAATCCATTTTTTGCCGTGACCTCGAATATTCGTTCGCGTGACAATCCATTTTATTTCAGTAGAATAACTGAATAAAGCTTTTTGTTAGTAATTGATAAACATAGCTTTATAAAATAGGATGATTCAAAGAAATGAAAAGGAAAGCAAGAATGTAAACATTAAATAACACATTATTTGTCGTTACAAAGTCAAAGTCAAAGCATTTATATCAATTAAACCATAATATGGTACTTTTGAAACGTTAACAAATACAAAATAAATAACAGTCTGTCAGTCAGTCCGTCAGTGAAGCTAGGTGAAGTTAGCTCATTCCAAATAGAATATTACCTACATAGGTAATTTAGACGAATTAATTCGAATAACCTTCGTAATACTGACAATACAATACCTAAACAAATGGTTTCTACTTATTTATACAGACAGTAGACAACCTACACCAATAAATTTTTAGTTGTATGCTAATGCTAATGTATTCATTATCTTTATACACACACACACATTTACATATATGCATCAGAGGTTATTAAACCCATTTTAAAACTGCGACGTTCTGCAAAGTTCAGGGTCTCGACGATAACGGATAATCTTCGTCACTTTAATAATAATAATCGAATGTAATATTTTAAATTAGGGATTTTATCTAATTACTGGGCAAGTAAATAGTTCTACATAATAGAGAAGATGATAGGGTATCAAAATAGATAATGTATTAACTTAGTCAATCTGATACAGAAAAAATTTTGAATCGTCAACAAAAACAAAATAAATAATAGTCTGTCAGTCAGTCCGTCAGTGAAGCTAAGTGCTCATTCCAAAATGTAGATTCGAATGGAGAAGAACGAGCAAGAAACTCCATTCGTTACTCTTTCTAAAAAAGTATGTTCGACAATGTCTCTGATACATATTCCAATACTGTACGCATATGTGAGAACAATGCAAAGACACGCTTGACGCATTATAGGTAGTAGTTACAAACCTTACTAAAAAATAAAAGAATCAAAAAAATCTTATAGTCTAACATGGTGCTCACATGCATACTGACAATTCATAAAAATAGTGCTTCTATACAAGAAAAAGGAAAAGGAATTGGATAAACAACAACAAGGATTGTATCCGTTCTCATAAAAAATCGATAAACTCTTTATACGAGTTTCGACTAGTATAATATTAATTGATACTATACCTAATTCCGTTATCATGAAAAATCTATCATATACACATTAATTATATCATACATATTTTCTATCTATTTAAAAGTAGTTTATCTTTCTTAAAAGTAAGAACTGTTTACATGATGCAATAGAAGCTAATAATAACAGTGACGTGATGACACTCGCGAAGTCATACTATAGATACTAATAGTACCTAAGTCGATTCTAGAATTCATGTTCGTTTATAACAGCCGAAATCAATAATAGTCTTTAAAAATTGAATTATGTCATTTATGTAGATTGTTATATGTATAAATCTATGAGATTTTCTGTCAAAAAACCTCGATCCATCCAGAGACTATGAATTAAAAAATGTTTTTTTTTGTAAGTTAAGTGACAAAAACAAAGAGAACCAACTAAATAACTCGCCTGACTTATAATAATTTGTTTTCACCAAGATTAATGAAGCGACTGCCATCTGCTTTGCTTTGAGGGCCTAGTGATGACCATCAACATAGAATACGTAGTGTGTGGTGTATTAAACTGTCAAACACCAAGCGGTCACCGGTGACCGCAACCTATTGTTCTATAATTGTGTCTACATAGACGGTACATA